AGCATTTCTAATGCAAGATCCAACAACTTCCTCATCAACATCACTCCCGGAAGAAAGCTTACATCCCGTTAAAGAGCAACCTAAAACTACCAGATCTGGAAGAAAGGTTAAATTTAACCCAAAGTACTTATAACGTACCGATGGTACTTGGGGGGGGAGTACTGTGGCGTTCCGACAGATACTTCAACTTCTATTCATGAGATGGCGCCACGTGTAAAATCCAGTTCTTAATCGGAGCAGCAAAGCGACATCATTTACTCACTCAGACTTCTCGTCACACAACTGTACGCGAAGGTAGCATGAACTGTGTTCCGAGCTCTGTGTTGATCTCTTCAATGTAATTTAAATTGTAATTTAGTACTTAATATATTCTTTTGTTATAGGAGATTGTCTACTCTTATTTTCTTTAATTATATCATGCATTAAGCACACGCGACCACCAAAATGAATCACCTATTTCCTTAAACAAATCCGAATTGCAAGGCATGTGCTTTGGTAATTTGGATATGTAATGGCAATTTTTGGCGACGAACTCTGCTACAGAACCCTATTTTTTTTTCGCCGATTTTGTCTTCACGAGAAAATGTTTCTTCTTTTTTACTCAACACTTTTTCCAACAATCTGCTAGCCGAATTACACTCATGCTAGAAATTTTATGGAACAAAATTGCTTAATCATGACAAATATTAACTACAAAATTGGGAAAAGTGCAGAATCGCAAACTCCTTGCCGCGTTTTTCAGAATAGCACATACACAGTAACCATGTACACGTCAACTTATTTTTACTTAAAAAAAATCCCAGAAATGCACAAAAATGGCATTGCGCACACTCTTCACTACGTCCATGTACACTGCTTTTTTCTCATAAATTAGAAAAATTTCACGAAAATGCATGAAAATTTTGTGAATCTTTAAATTCGGTAAAAAGGATATATATGAAATTACCTGATCGCGAAAAAGTATATACCCTTTCCAAGGATGAACATTTGCACGTATAAAATAAATAAAATATCCAAAAACTTTTACCTCTAAATTATCTATTATAAATGTCACCAATGAATTTATAACGCAAACATTAAAAATGGTTGCAAATACTTAGTGTCAAATATTTAAATTATTTCCATGCACGGTTACTTCCACTGAAACATATACCAAATTGCTACAAACATATAATTCACAAATAACTATCATTTAATTAAAATATAAGGTTGATCTTTACAATATGGTAACTGGTAGTTTGGCGACATTTTGGAGGCGATAAAAGTTACTACCTGGGACTTTGGTAATAATGTGAGCAGTACTCAGTTCCGATTACGCATTATTTTGTGTGGGGGAAAATGAGAGATCATGGGATATGTCATGTGATATTAATGGACGAATTACGGTTCTTTAATCGGAAAAGGGGGGGAATTTGGACAAGTATCTGTGGATGTATATTATTTTGTATTAAGCTTCATTGTGTGTTGTGTGAAGTAGGGTTGAATAATTTTGGGATTGTATGGCGCTGTCTAAAGTGAATTGTAGATGTGATAAAGAGAATTTTTTTTTATCAAATTCGGAAAAAAAAATCGTTCAGTAATTTTATTGAATCCATAATAAAAGTGTATCCACCATGTAAGGAAGATTCGGAAGAATATTAGGTTAGTTAGACTTTGTTAAGAATGTGAGTAGTATTCAGTTCTGATTACGCATTATTTTGTGTGAGGGAAATGAGAGATCATGGGATATGTTATGTCATATTAATGGACGAATTACTGTTCTTTAATCGGGAAAAAATCTGGCAATTTTGTATTTGGCTTTATTCTGTGTTGTGTGAAATAGTGTTTGTGAATTTTTGGATCCCATGGCCGTAACTAAAGTGAATTCGAAATGGGTATTTAGTGGTATTGAAAAGGATAGTAATAAATGTTTTTTAAGGTTGTGCGAGAGAGAAATAAAGATGTTTTATTATGTTATTTATTTTACCTGGTATCTTGCTTTGAAAGATAAGTATAATTTTAAAGATTCTGAAACAGAAGTAAGAAAAGTGTATCCGCCACGTAATCAAGATTCTGAAGAAGATTAGGTAAGTTAGTATTTTTTAATTATTTGAGGATATTATTTTTTATGCATTGTTGTAAATGTAAGGTGGAAAGGAATTTGGTATTATTGGGAAAATGTTATTAGCAATGATTTAGTTTAAAGTAATTAGGATTGTAAGGTAATTTTTTTAATTTAATGTATGTGCTCATTTATATTTTAAGTAGTGTTTTTGAATTTAATTATATTTTAATGAAATGATAGTTATTTTGTGAATTTTATGTTTGTAGGAATTTGGTATACGTTTAAGTTGAAATAAACGTGCATGGAAATAATTTAAATATTTGATATTAAGTATTTGTAATGCTTGAGGTATGAATTCGTTGGTGACGTGTATAATGTAATAGATGATTTAGAGGTAAAAGTTTTTGGATATTCTATTTATTTTATATGTGGAAATGTTGATATTTGTAAAGGGTAAATACTTTTTCGCGATCATGTAATTTCATATATGTTTTTTTTACTGGGTTTTCGTAAAATTTTTTTAATTTATGAGAAAAAAGCAGTGTACGTGGATATAGTGAAGAGTGTGCGCAATGCCATTTTTTTTGCAATTCTGGGATGTTTTTTTAAGGAAAAATAAGTCGGCGTGTACATGGTTTATGTGTATGTGTTATTTTGAAAAATGCGTAAGGAGAATGGTATTGTGCAGTTTTTCCTAATTTTGCAGTGAATATTTGTCATGATTAAGCAGTTTTGTTTGATAAAATTTCTAGTAAGTAAGTGTAATTCGGCTAGTAGATTGTTGGAAGAAGTGTTCAGGAGATAAAAAGAAAAAGAAACATGTCTTTACTTCGTGAAGACAAAATGGCGGCGGGGAAAAAAAAAAAATAGAGGGTTGCTGTAGGAGAGTTGGTCACCAAATGTTCGCCAAAAAATCGCCAAGTTACCATAATGTAAAGATCAACCAAATATAATTAAATTAAAAAACACTACTTAAAATATAAATAAGCACATACATTAAATTAATAAAAATTAGCTTACAATCCTAATTACTTTAAACTAAATCATTGCTAATAACGATTTTCCAATAATACCATATTAATTTATTTACTCCTTACATTTTGAACAATGCATAAAAATAATATCCTCAAATAATTAAAAATACTAACTTACCTAATCTTCTACTTATTACTACCCCTTTCAATCCCACTAAATACCCATTTCGAATTCCCTTTAGATAGGGCCATGGGATCCAAAAATTAACCAACACTGTTTCATACAACACAGAATAAAGCTAAATACAAAATTTCCAGTTTTTTTCCAGATTTCCCCCCCCCCTTTTTCCGATTAAAGAACTGTAATTCGTCCATTAATGTCACATGACATATCTCATGATCTCTCATTTCCCTCACACAAAATAATGCGTAATCGGAACTGAGTACTTCTTACATTATTACCAAAGTCCCAGGTAGTAACCTTTATCACCTACCAAAATGTCGCCAAACTACCTGTTACCATATTCCAAAGATTAGCCCACTCTTTTAACTTTATCCATGTACACGTTGACCTATTTTCACTTAAAAACCAAACAATAAAATAACATAAAAAAGGAAAAACATGTTATACATTTAAGCACTACCAAAAGCAAATATTCACTTACCATGATTTTCGAGTTTGCTTCGTACACCCAGAGCCACTGTAAAAATCAAAAATATCAATCATACTCAAATGACTTTTTTCAAACCAGGTACTCTTTCTGATCGAATGCTTCACATAGTGACCATCTGAACCTTTCTTCCTACAAACCCATTCAAATCCATCTAAATGGTTTTTACGTTCAACTAGATGCATATTCTTCCTACATACATGACACTTATAATGGCTACTAAGTAAACCATTTATACACCAGTCAATTAAAGCAATATTATTTCCCCTTTCGCTCACGCTTACAAATCATCCAATGATTCAAAATTTCTCAGAATCATGCACCCGATTATGTCACAATAGGGTTTCCATAACATTCAACTACTCAGGCTACCATAAATGAAACAACAACTTGTCGATAAATCAAACATCTTCTCCATAATACAAGGGTCTACTCTACCCTAGTATGCATTCAATTATTTTCATGAGTATTATTTTTGACTGGGTTTAATCCTAGTATCCGGTGCACACTGGATTATGCTACTTTTGGCGACTTTATGATGAGCAGTAAAAACGGGACATATACGATGAGTAGTTAATGGGTCATTCAAAGAAAATATATAGTTAAACATAGTATATAATATGTATACACACATAGTATATAGTATATAGACGTTCTTTGGATCATTTTTGGTGTTGGCGATAATTTTCAAAGTCGCGCCAAGGCTGCACCGTATACTAGGATTTTACCTTTGACTGCAATAATATAGTAATTCTTCATATGTTGTAATCATTTAATTAGATTGTCTTTATGGAAAATATTACTGTCCAGTCATCTTTGAGAATACAGTGAGTTAATGAAAACTTAACGAAGTAGATTTAATTGGAATTAAAATACAGCAAAGTTATATGAACTAAGAACACTAACACAGTTTCGCATTTTTTATACAGATACTGAGATAGTACAATGAATGCTCTCAACATGAACACTTCTGAAATTGACCATTATTTTTAAGAACATTAACAATGGTACAGTCACATCAACATAACATCAAAATCATTTGGAACCACAGAAGTCGTTTTACCCGGTTCATTATAGATACAAAAGAAATAATGTATTCTACTTTTTGAGCAGTAAATAATTAAATAGATAACGGCAAGTCAATTAGAAACAATTCATTCAAGTTTTCAAAGACTGGAGATTTCCTCGAAAATCATGAAATCGAAATTTTGAAGAAACTGTATTTTTTTGTAACTGACTCGATCCAACACCAAAATATATGCATAAAAATTTAAATTGCACAAGCGAAAAGGAATGAAAAATAAAACTTACTTGCTTTTGCCGAACACCAGATAATGGATTATTCATTTTCAAATTCTCAGATATAATTAGTTAACATATGTTGCCGAATTCAAACATGAAAAATCATTCAAAATTAACTACGTAACTACATAAACAAGACAGACCACACAGTTGTTTAAAATTCGTTACATCAAAATAGTATTGCCATATACTTAGACCAAAAAGAACTTCTCGACAGATCGTGAAATGAAAAGCCTCACGCGATTAACCTCCTTGTGCGATCCATTATGTACTGCTGAAGACTGGAATTTGAGAAATATTTCACCATCATTTATTTTCATATTAAATGGATGCTTACGCATGTTCTTTTTAACAGTCTAAAAAATTATTAAAACGGTTTCTCTATATGCTTGTTTATGATATCTCTAAATGCTCTATATTTTTATTTTTATTTTTTACAATTTTCTAGAGACTAGACATTTTTTTTTTTTTTTAATTTTTCAAACACATATACATCATATAGAATGTTTAAAACATTCATAACAATCATCAAACATACATACAGTGTCTCAAAAAAGTGATGGGACGCTTGTGTTTTACAAAAAGAAACTGTAATAAAATAAATTTAAAAAAATGTAAAAATTGTTTGTGGGTGTGTTTCATACTTAAATTTAGTAACAATTATTAAACATACATTTTCTCAAAATATTAAAATAATAATTTAATAAAAATACAATTTTTAGAACGGAGCAAAAATGGCTCACATAAGTGATGGCACACTACGTACTATGCAACAAAAATCGTCTAAAGTAAGCAATAAAAATATCTTTTGGGGTATTTATTTTTACTAAAAAGCAATTGGCAATAACTTATAAAATCGTCTGCAGTATTTCTCTCCAGTTTGTTTTGTAATTTTTGTGTTTTTTAGCTCTGTGCAGCTATGAATGCTAAACGAAAAGAAACTTTGCCTGAAGTTCGAAAATTAGTTATTAATTTGCATATTGAACGTGGAAAATCTATTAGAGAAACAGCTGAAACAGTTAATTTGAGTACTTCAATATCATTAAACGATATGAAAAGAATCATATGATCCAGGATAAAAGACCTGGCCGACCATCAAAACTATCCAATGGAATAAAGCGGATTATCGTTCGAAATATTAAAAAAAATCCAAGAATGAGTGCTTCTAAAATTGCTGCTGATTTACAAGCATTATATGGAGTAATTGGTAATCCTGAGACTATTAGAAAAGTAATTCGATCTGCTGGATATCACGGTAGAGCAGCCAGGAAAAAATTCTTCGTAAGTGAAAAGAATAGAAAACTCAGACTGGCTTTCGCAAAATCCAACATAATAAGAATTCTGATTACTGGAATGAAGTTATATTTGCTGATGAGAGTAAATTTAATATATTTGGTTCTGACGGTAGAATCTTGGTATGGAGAAAAAAACCCAGGGAAGAATTTCGCAAACAGAACTTGGTGCCAACAGTAAAACATGGTAGAGGAGGAGTTTATGGTATGGGGGTGTATGTCGTCCGCTGGAGTTGGTAATCTTGGTCTTGTTTTTATTGACAGTATAATGGATCGGTACAAGTATAGTTGAACATTTTAAATAAAAATTTGAAATCTTCAGGCACGAAAATTGAACCTTTCGTAACAATTTTAAATTCTTCCATGGGCAATGACCCCCAAGCACACTGCTTTGAACGTTAGACTCTGGCTGCTGTATAACTGTCCTGGAAATAATAAAAACACCACCACAATCTCCAGACTTAAATCACCATAGAGAAATATTTGGCAAGAAATTGGAATCAAGAATTCGCAAACACACCATTTCTTCAAAACAACAATTAAAATCGGTGCTTCAAGAAGAATGGGGTAAAATCATTCCAGAAATCTCAAAAAAATTAGTGGAATCCATCCCAAGAAGATTAAATCATGTTTTAAAAGGAAAAGGAAATCCTACAAAATATTGAAACCTTTCAAAAAGTAAAATTTTTGGATAAATATTTGATGGAAAAGTAAGTGTCCCATCACTTATGTGTGCCATTTTTTGCTCCGTTCTAAACAATTGCATTTTTATTAAATTAATATTTTAATATTTTGAGAAAATGTATGTCATGTAATAATTGTTACTAAATTTAAGTATGAAACACACCCAGAAAAAATTTTTACTGTTTTTTAAATTTATTTTACTACAGTTTCTTTTTGTAAAGCACAAGTGTCCCATCACTTTTTTGAGACACTGTATGTACATATGATGATGATATAATATAAGGAAGAATTCTTTTCCAAATTCTACCTAGGTTTATTTTTTATTGAAAGTTAAAAATTTTCTAATATATCCTTGCTTAATGACCGAATAATTATTGCAGAAAATCGCCCATTTGGAAATTTTGTTTCTTCTATTGTTTCATTGTAAAAAAAAAAAAAAAAAAGAGTAGAATTATGATATTGTTGAAATCGGAATTGTTTGATTGGTCTGTGAGTGCTGAAGTCATGTTCTTATTGAAGAGATGAAGAATAACCATATAACTTTATTTAAATTCAGGTAACTTTGAATATATACTAATAAGGAGAGTCTTGTAAATGTGATCTCGCAATTTTTCTCGAACGTAGCTCATATTACAAATTTGCGTCTGACAGATATAGGGCATATTTGGAAAGAAAGAATTGCAACTCCCGAAGATTTAATGCACCGAGATCGCAATTTAGTTGATATTCGCAATTTTCAAGTTTTGAAGGAATAAAAATGGTATAAGAGTGAGTAGCTGTCGAAATCTCGTAGTTATTTCTTTGGACACCTGATCTACAGAAAAATCTACTTTTCTTCTTAAATCAATTCCATATGGCAACTCAGAATCATATTGATCCACAGGACTAACTTCCATCATCATATTATTTCACGTGAAAAATGGGGCTTCCAAATTGTATCGCACGCTGCGTACCGGCACCCTCTAGCTACGCTACTGTGTCTGACATCACATGAATTAAAGAAAAAGAAGATGAAATTTTCATATATAATTAAAAGCCTTAAATACAAAGATCTGTATTTTATTGTAATAAATACAAAGATCTGTATTAATTGTATTTTATTTATACAGTAAGTAAAATAAAATTTTTTTGTACTTTACTTACTGTATAAGTAAAATACAAAGAAAATAGAAGCAAATTATCTGAATAAAAATGTGCGTCTGTAAATTATAAGATATGTGAATACATGGCAAATTTAAGTTCTGATTTCTGCACTTCAGCTCTTTATTAGCACTTGGAAATAGGTCTTACTATTTTTACTCGAATAGGAAAATTAAAATTCAACTCTTTTCAAAATAGGATGAATAGCAATTACAAATGCTTGTACGACACACTCTTTATATAAACGTTAATGATTCTTAATGGAAACATACTGTTAAAATTTACTTTTTTGCATTCCAGTCAGACCAAAGCTTTTCTAATAAATTAATAAACGTAAATACTTTTTCAATGAAAGTAAATAATATAGTTTATCATTCAGGTTTATTAAAAGATATCCAAGGAGGATTGTTTTGGGAATTAAATTATATAAAGTCCATTTAAATTATACAAATTTCGGATATTGTTCAGTATTAAACTATGTAGTAACACGAGCACTATCTTTCTGGAGTTCTTTGTAAGAAAAACAAGCTCGTATTTTTACGTTACACATAGGAAAAACCACGAAAACTTTACAGCAGCAAAACTATTCGCCTGGATTCGAACCCAGATCGAGTTACCAGTTTTAAAGGACTCTATCAATCAGCCGCTGGTAAGACATATAAAACAAAAATTTCGTATAAATAATAAAAACAAGGTCAAAAGGAATATTAATAATAACACCACGAAGAATGTGTAAGCGACTTATATATTGGTATCGAATTTTATAACATTACATTCAATAGGACAATGTGCATCACAGGAGTTAATTTTAGTTTCTGAATATAAAATATTTTTTTTTTCAAATTTTATCATTTATCAATATTTTCTATACTTTTTTTGTTTATATTTATAAAACACTTTTAAAATATTTTTTAATTAAATAAATGTAAATGTATTTTTCAAGTTTTGGAAATGAGAGGGATATAGTCTTTCAATGATGAAAGGGGTGCATAAAGAAGAAAAGGTTCAGAACCACTGCCATATAGAAGCAGTTAAAAATGTATAAAATATTAAGATTTAGGGATACAGCTCTGTTTGGCCACTTAAAAAATTTTCAAAATGCAATTTTTAAAATTTTAAAAACGTCAAACTGATCGATTATCGCCGCAAAAATATGAAGTGGTAAATTAAAAGGTAAAAAGCGAAATATATAAATAATTTTTATGTTAACGAAACTCCAGTCGTAATTATTAGTTAAAGCGCCAAATCCGGTAGTCTGTTATATCGCATCAACAATGGCATCACTTCGAATAAGTGGGGAAAATTATTACAGATGCCTAGCTTTTAGCTCCTAAGCCATGAGCCGTAAAGCGGCATTAAGAGTTTTTAGAGATACAGCTTATAGTAACCTTAGGAAGAATGAAGATCGATATCCTCTTTTAAGTTTTCTGTCGCTTAAGCGGATGAAGTGGTTAAGCGGATTGAAGCGTGTAGTTATGGATTCATACTACAAAATTTATTCCTCCCTTCTACAGCCTTATTTATCTTGATATGTGGCCATGTGGCAATGACGAAATAAACATCAGCACGGCATTGTTGCCCCTACCAAAGCAAATTAAATCGGCCAAATTTATGACACTCCAGTGTTAATCTAAAATTAATATCGTTAAATCTGATTTTTGGAAAAAGGAAGTGGGAAGGAAGGGGAGGCGTGTAAGGGGGGTGTGGAGCGGTGGTGGGTCCGGGTGGGGCGGGGTGTGGGTGGGTCGGGGGCGGGGGGGGTCGGGAGCGACGGTGGGGGCCGGTTTGTGTGGGAGGGCGGCGGGGTGGGGGGGGGGGGGGGGCGGACGTTTAGGGAGGGGCGTGTTGGTTGGGTGAGCCGCATCGGTTTGGGGGTGGGGGGGGGGGTGGGTCGGAAAAGGGCGGCGGTTTGTGCGCGTCGGGGGTGGGGGGCCGGCGGGGGGTTGTTGGGTGCTTGCCGGGTCGGGGGGGCGGGGCGGGTGCCTTGGGGAGCGGACGTTGTGGGGTGGCTAGGTGGGGGGTTCGTGGGGGGGGCGAGGGTTCGGGGTGGGGGGGGGGGGTGGCGGGCGCGGGGTCAGATCGGCGGGGCGTGGCTGGGTGGGGTAGCGCTGGGGGGGGGGGTACACCCCTCCGGGGGGGGGGTGTGTGGTGTCGGGGGAGGGCGGAGGGAGGGTGGCGCA